CATGACCCCCTTGAGTGCTCTTGCACTCCGCCACTGTCGTGAGTGGATAATTTGTAACTTGTCAGAGGCTCTAACGCCTCTCGATGGATCAGCAAATCTCCCCCTCAGGAGTTTGAAGAATTGAGGAAGGGGGGTGATCTTAGAATATGCAACCAGGTTGTTTTCAGAACCGACTGCGCGCGCAAGGGATCTGGCGAAGCTAGCCGCTTCGTCCTCAAGGGCCTGGAAGGCGATGAGGACTTGCTCCTCAGTCAAGATGTGTTGTAAGTATATATAACTATTTACACTAGCCTCCCAGTTATCAAAGTTTTCCTCCTCCTTCCCGCCATATGCATCTGGAAACTTAAGCTTGACGGGCTCTTTACGAGGTTTGGCCTCGCTCTCAACAGCGGCTACCGCTTTGGCACTCTCGATAGCGCCCTCACAGAACTTTCCCACGTTGTCTCTCAACCGTCTAACTTCGCCCCCAAAGTGGGTGACTATATCGCACGGAAAATCCCGAAATCCTGACCGCATGGCCTTCAGGGCCACATCGTGACCCCAGCTAGCTAGGCGCTCCTCCATCCAGGCCGCACTCAACACTTCCAAGTACCCCAGCACTTCATCCATTTTGGCAGAAATGTCTGCCTGCGCCTGCACTTCTTGTCTACAATCCCTCACTTTTGCCACTTCTGCGGTCAACCTGTTAACTTCCTCCCTCCTCTTCTTTTCTCTTTTCATCCTCAGTTTCCATTCCAACTTCTTCTCCTCCTCTACTTCTTGCCTTTCCAGGGGTTCATCCATTGCTGCTAGCTCACTGGCTAACGCATCCCTCTCATCCTGGGGCACATAAAACTCTGCCTCCTCATCTTCCCCCAATGATAAATTAGCAATCCACTCGCTGATCTTTTTGTCCATGGTTGCATCTTCATTTGCCGTGCCACTACTTTCCCCTTTTACCTCCCTGCGTTTTCTCTCCTCTTCTGCCTCTGCTGCTGCTTCTTCCTCGGCAGCCTTTTTCTTCTCCTCCATCTCCTCCTCCAACTTCTTCATCTTCGCCGCCTGCTCCTCTGCGATAGCTTTCAGCTTTGCCTGCTTCAGGAGCTCTTTTCTCTCCTTATTTTCTCTCACTAGGGCGGCCATCTTCTCTTGCTGTTCCTGGGTGTAGGGGCTAGTGCTCTTCCCACTCCGAGTGTCAACCATGGTGATAAGTGCACAACCGGATTAGCGGTTCCAAACCTCACCACTTACACTCTAACCCCTGGCTGACAACTTACTGACTCGATCTAAGACTCACAGAATCCGGACAGGGATCCTGCCAACTAGGGTCTCTAGCCTAGACCTATACTATGGCTGTCACTACTAGACCTGTTGCTGATCAGGAGGCATTTAAGGAGATCCCCCGTAACTCCTTAGGAATTATGTAACGTCGCAGACAGGACGACGCGATCAGCAGGTCTCTCAACACTTAGACTGCCTGTTGCGCAGCCCACAACTCAGCCTTTCGGGCCTACCGTGCCACACCGAGCAGCCCGCCGGTCTGTATCGGTCCTTGGGAGGGTTAGGCCTCCGGGAAAGTCGAGTCGTCAGACACAGTCTTTAGCCCTACTTGGTCCGGCAGGGGTTTGGTCAACAAGGCCTATCCTTCATCCACAGAGTACTATCACCTGGACAGAAGAGACTCGATGTAGAAAGAAGAGACAAACAGACTGGACTCAGCAAGTACCACAGGGTGTGTGCACATCCATAGGGCGGGGGGTAGGTTGAAGGCTTGGCAAGATTATACCGGCTCCAGCTTGGTCAAACTCGTGGTCAACAGCTTGGTCAACGTCGGTCAACGCTGCGGTCAACTCCCGGTCAACCCCCGGTCAACTCCGGTCAGCGCCGGTCAACACCTCCGGTCAACTCCCTCAATCGGCTATGGCTGCCGGCCTCACTTTCCCTCACCAACCTTCTTCTTCCCTTCACCTTCCTCGCCTCCTTTCACCCTGCTGTCTTCTTTCTCTTTCTTCTCTTTTTTTTTTTTTTTTTTTGATCGTCTCTCCCTTCACCTCTCTTGGCTATGGCTTCCCTCACTCTGCTCGGTCTCTCCCTCTGTCCACTCTCTCTCCCTCCTCCGTCACTCCGTGGTGGAACTACGCGGCTATGGCCGCAATCTTCTACTTCGTGGGACTGCGCAGCAACCTCACAGGTACGTGACAGCCAAACTCGTATCGCTCATCTCTCTCTCTCTCTCTCTCTCTCTCTCTCTCTCTCTCTCTCTCTC